AGAAGCTTGTTATGTGACTGCATAGTGACAATAAAGAATCTTGAATTAATGTCAGGATGGCTACCTGACCAATTTTATCAGTCACTGAGTGTCCTATGTAGCATTCTGTTTGCTGGCACTTTTGTATCCTGCAGTGCAAACCTTTTCTAATCTACACTACACTGTTTTCTTAGGGAGCTGCTTTTTTAAACCGGGCTAATTACAGTACAGTCTCTAATGCGAAGGCAATTTGAATCTTCTTTCACTGACAGGCCAGCGTAGAGGATGTCGGAAACTCTATACTGAGCACTTGAGGTTAGGTGCTTCGTAGTTCACAAAGGCAGAAAATTTGCCAGTTAATGGGCATACTGTAATGACGTTGACCTGTGCTTGGACCAAGCTGAATGCTGCTGATTGTCTCAAAGGACGTGATCTTTACAAAGGAAGCAGGAGGTAAAAGGTTACATTTTTGTTTGCCTTCTGGCTGACATTCTCTCTCTTCAGGATAAAGATGAACATGAGAGACAAAACCTGTCCCTGAGAATTTTCTTTAGAACACCCGATATATAAGTACATGGGAATCCCTGCACATACCCATGAAATGCAGTGCAGAAAGCACAGACAAGCTAAGCTGTACAGATGTTCCACTAATGAATGCAAGAACGTATTTGATGCAGACAATTCACCTGCTGACTGAAAAGCAACAAGGAAAAATCCACAGTTTTTGTAAACTTCTTCCAAAACGTTTCCTTTATTCTCACAAATGTTGGACTGTAATTTTGAGGAACAGAAATGAAAAAAACAAAAACAGAAAACAAAAACAAACAATGGCCGTGACCTTGTCTAGGTGTCTCTATGGAGATGAGGCCTCAACATAAAGCATTCCCCTCTGTGTGCTGACAGACCAGCCTGGCCAAAAACATGCCTTACAACTCCAAAGGCTAAGACACATGGTGCGTGACGCAAACACTCAACTCTACTAAAAGATATTTTTACATACATGTATATGAATTTATGTACTAATGTTCCTGATATTCCTTTTCTGGCTCTGCCTTTGAAAATGGATTCAGTTTTTATATAAACTGCACATTTATAAGGGATCTGTGCAAAAGGTTTTTCTTAATTTACTCTGTAAAAATAATCAGCTTGTAAAGTGGAATTGCTGAAGAGAGCCACAGGGTGATGCCTCCTTTGCAGTGCTTGAATTCGGACACAGGCACAGAAATAAGGCTTTGACTGAGTCAGATATGCCGAATAGTCTCTTTAGAAGTAAAAATTATGCCAAATTATTGTTTTTAAGTTGAATTAGGCTATTTAGTTTTTCCCTCAACAGTTCAACGTTTCTTTGATTCTCAATGTCCATAGTGTTAGAGGCTACACCGGTTGCATTAGTTCAGTGGTCCCATAATGTAGTGGTTTACACATTTACCTAACAAACGAAAGCTATCTGGAACAGTCCCGGGAGCAGACATAAATCCTCCCAGAGGAGGCTGGTAAAGTTAAAGTTCAAGATCAAATGTGTGGAGAAGCCTGCTATACTGATCCCTTGTGAAAGAGCTGAAAGTAGCCAGTCTTAATAATTCAAGGTTTCTTTGTTTCCCAATGACCATTGTGTCAGGCAGTGATGGTGTGATGGTACAGTACATCCATCCATCCATCCATCCATCCATTCGCTTCCGCTTATCCTTTTCAGGGTCGCGGGGGGCGCTGGAGCCTATCCCAGCTGTCATAGGGCGAGAGGCAGGGTACACCCTGGACAGGTCGCCAGTCTGTCGCAGGGCCAACACACAGGGACAGACAACCATTCACATTCACACCTAGTGACAATTTGGATTATCCAATTAACCTATCCCCACAAACTGCATGTCTTTGGATGGTGGGAGGAAGCCGGAGTACCCGGAGGGAACCCACGTACAGTACAGTCAGATAAATTACCACTACTTTTCTGATAGGGATAAAAGTCTCTTTTCTATGCTGAAACTTCACTAGATTATTATGCTCTTGAGTGACTAAAATCTGCAACATTTAAGATCCCATTCACATATATTACCCACTACACCTCTGGCTAGTTTACTACTTACTCAAGGACAAGAAAAGCCCATTAAGTGTAAGTGCAGCAGGTGGTCCATGAAGATCCCTACAGGCTGTCTCTGGGGGAAGAGTAAGCCTGAGAGAGAAAAAGAGCAGGTGGCACAAGGCTTAACCTGAGCTAAAACTCATCCAATGAGCTCATCTCCACAGGCTTAGCCAGCTTCCAAGTTGTCTGCTTTCTGCCAGGACAGCCAGATCTGGGTACTCTGGTCCAGTCCGTCGAGTCAGCCACCAGCCCTCTGCTAATCTGTCTGAGCACTACCGTTGGGCCATATGTTTACCATCTTACCAACAAAGTAACATATGCACTGTCTTGTTTGCTTGCAAAAAGATGCTGTCTATAAAGGATTTAAGATGTAGTGTAGACATCACTCTTTATTTCTCTGTATGTGATGACTACCACAGGAGTGACAGCTACAGGTAAACAGATTCAGCCCTGTCGTGCAATATAATCCCACCACATCCACTGTGAGGATGTGACCTTATCTCACAATATCCCCTCCATTCATGTCAAGGCAGCCCAGGTAAGCCCACAGGTAAAAAAACAGATCCCAACAATCCCACTGTCTCGATAACAAGTGTGTAGCGTAAGCTCCACTAATCCTTTGTTGTGAACGTGTACAAGTGAACCTGACATAACCTCAAAGACGCCACACATCAGCACTCTCAGATATAATAAACTATGTACTGTGGTATTCAGGAGTGAAATCAACACACTGAGTCAAGCTGAAGAGGAAACATTTTTTTCTAGCTGAGGTTTGGTTGAGCCTTATTATAGTGGCTGTGTCAGCACCATATCTACCTTCCTGGTGTTATGCACTAATCCCCTGAGTCCAAGCCAATTTTAATGATGTCATGCCAGACTGGTGCTGATGTTGTCCTTAAGCTGCGATTAAATTACTTACGTTAAGACAAACAAGTGATATACCAGCGTCGTGGATAATGAGTTTCTAGCAAATTCCCTCAACAGCATGAAAAAACACAAATCATACCCTTTATTGAATATAACATTCTCCACAAACACTTCTCACTGTTTTACTGTGGTGAGTCATCTGTTGCTACTGTTAATTTTCTTGTCTTGGTTAAGAGAAGCTTCCCACCACCAGCAGGCCTACAAATGCCTCAATCAGCCTACACTACGTGAGGAGACACCTCAGCAGGTTCCCAGTCACGATGTTCATTATCGTTTGCACTACCGTCATCACCACTGCACAATCTACTAAATGATCTCGAAGAGGGACCTGCTCAAATGTGAGGCGTAATGGTGAAAATGGTCCTCAAGGGACTTGCACACGCAATGTGTCCTTCTCATATGAAAGGTCACATGGTAGCAACCTCATTAAATACTATGCTCATTGGGAAAAAGGCCACCTGGTCTATGACGGCAAACCAAGTCCAGTTTCTTTTTCTATTCCACTGCCAGAATAAATGAATAGAAAAATCAAGTTTTGGTTGTAGTTTATGAAATATGCCTAAAACTCATTGCTATGGGGAACAGCTATGGCCATGATAGCCAATCTACATTCTGTTCATTCTGAGTCATTCTCGTCATGGTTTACTCTAATGGAAAACACAATTAGTGTAATAGCTCCATTCAAAGCTGCTTATTTGTCAAATAAGTTGGAAAGTAATGTCAAACAAGTTGGTGGAAAACTGAAACAAGACCACAGTGGAAACAAATAGAACCAAGCATGAGGCTGCCGGTACTGGCTGTTTTCATATTAAAGCCAGATGTGTTGTTTTGTCAGACCAACAGTAAAAGCCAAAGAAATTCAAATTATAGAAACAACAAAACAGAAAAAGACTTTCCAATTAAACTGTTTGTCAAATTGCATCATGGTTAATGTAGGCGCTAAGTTAGCAAGATAAAAGTATTAGTGGAATAAAAATAGGCATAAGCATTTGTCCATTGTCCATTTGTCTGACACTACAGAAGAAGTGCACTGCTAATTGGTGAACTACTCATTTCCAATGACTAGGTGGCTGAAAAATACTTCATAAGCATCAGACAGATTCAGAAATAGAAATAATTACTACTTGCTGCCCTAGCCGTCTCTCTCTGTTGGCATTCACGTCACAAAGTTCTTGCACCATTATGAAAATCAAAATCAATGCTTTTTATGACCTTTTCAAGACCTCAGTAATTGGAGCGGCACAGTCTTTATGTTACAATTATGTGGGCACTACTGGACTTCAGAGATACTTTTTTCTGGACTTAAAAGATACCAGAGGGAAACTGCACCACACTTCTGTTAAAACATGTGTACCTGATTTATTTTGTACAACAAAAAGCAGATCAATACACCAACTATTTTTTTTTAAATCTACAAGACGACTTGGTGTGGTGCGTATACATGACTTAGTGCAAAGCACACACTCACTGTTACCATTAACCTTTGTATGCATTACTTTCTAAAACTAACCCCTGTTTCTCTTTCCGACAAGCATATGTCAGTATTAACAATGTATGACATGATGAAGCTACTTTGAAGTTGCTGACAGACCAGTACAAGTTGATTTTAATTATGTTATTGGGTTAGTGCTTGTTAGTGTCACAGTCCATATAACTACAGCAAGTGACATTAAAACCGCATGTGTAATAATGTTTTTTTTTTTTTTAAATAAATCTTAAAGGTGAAAATTTTAAAATATATGAAGCACATAGTCTAAGACCTTTAAGGAGCTTTTTATTACTTGAGTCTGAATCTTGCAGCATTCATATACATATGCATTATGATGTATGCTTTATAAATTAGGTTGGTTTTTTTTGTTTTTTTTAAAGAGATGCTGATGTTGCAAAGGTCCCTGTAGGCACCTTATTTGTGCAGTCTCATGACAAGCAGGAAGGAACACAGTATCCCTCTTTCACACAAAGCCACCCCATCACTCACTCACATGCAGAATGAAAAATTAAAAGACCAATGTCTCACCTGGTCGTCCACTCTGTGGGCCACGATTGTAGCCCCCTCCTCCTGCTCAGCATCGCTGAGGGGTCGGATTCTCAAGGCAACCTGCAGCAAACAGAGCAAACTCTGAATGTAATCAGCTTGGATATGTTCGGTTTCATGACATCATATCTAAGAAAATGACACTGACCGCACATAAGACAACATGTCTAAGGTTTTATCTGTAGTTTAAACTGAATTTTTACAAATGCTTTAATGTCACTTGTTAGAGTGCTTCAACAGAAAAGCATTTTATAAGAAAAAAAAAAACTGGCTCATATATCAGATGCAGCGCACGCTGTGCTGATTTTGAACATTACAATGGTTTTGGGAATGAAGAAAGCAGGTGAGTAATGTTCAATACGGCTCAGGATTGGCTTTGTGCAGGATAAAAAAAAGAATCCCTCAAGATGAAATGTGATTTAGAATAATAAAGATGTGCGAATATAAGTAGGAAGGGGAACTATGATACACTGCTATATTCCATTAAGGGAGTTGTAAAAGATGTATCCTAGTAATAACCCAAATTCATAAAAATGAAACATAAATTGCATGAGTAATCTTTCAAATGTCAAACACATTTTTTTCACCATTTAACTTAATAATTAGGAAAAATGCAGGATCTTCTAACTTTTAAGTCTTTTCTCTCTCACAACCCCAATTCAACCAGGGTAGGTAAACTGGAAACTCAAAATATCACTTTAAATGCAGAGCTGTGGTTTTAGAGTCTAAATTATGAATACTGGATGGCACTTGGCAGACACATAACAACTTAATGAGTGGAGCATTGTAATACGACAGCATTATGCACATTCAGACTCCTACTGTTAGTCTAAATCTGTCTGCGTGATTTAGAGATCAGCAGAAAAGCTCTGACTGAATTAAAACAGGATGAAAACAGAGTGTAGCAATACCAGCAGTGTGTTAGATCCACAGGAGTGGCACATGAGCTGCATTCATATGCATTCAAACAAATGTGCTATGACGTTCATGTATATAAGGGCTTTTATAGTGGATGTGGATCCACCTTGGATTCACCTAGGCAACAAATAGAAATAAGAAGGTCCTCTCTCTATCAGCACCATGTAGAAGGTGTATTACATGGGGGACAAGAGAGGCCGGGCAACTGAAACAGCCACTTCAATAATTCAGGTAAGGGCTGCATTGCAGGTGGTATAAAAGAAAATTGAACATTCACTATAAACGCCAGCAGCTTAAATGGTTAGGAATTCAAGAAGAAACCACTAGAAAGAAGAACAAGAACCTAAAAATAAACTATGCTTAGGCTAACTCCATGATGCCGCTAATATATTTTAGTTTAATTAAATTATATGTTTTAATGCCGAGCTCACTTAGGGGTGAATAGGATGGGTTTTTTTGTTTGTTTGTTTGCTTTTTTATATATAAAAGGTGGTATTTGGTATCCAGTGTGAAGCCACCTTTTAGTGCATATGCCATTCAACAAAAAATACAGGCATTTTTTAGGCAAACTTCACAGGACTGCAGCCTACAGGTGTACTCTAATGAAGTGATCACCGAGTGTTCAGTTAACTGGCAGAAAATTTATGAGCTTGTTTGTATTAAATAGTGATGGTTTTCTACTACTCACCAACAGAGCGAACTCATTTGACAAAGTTAATAAAGGTGTTAGAGCTCAATAAAAAAATATCATTAAAAAAAGCATAGGTTGAAACTCACAGTTAGCTGGTGGTCCTTTGACTCTCCGGTGTCCTTCATGTTCACTTTCGGTCAGCCTGAAGGATAGCGAGCATCAACAGAAAACGGGGCACTGGACCATCCCGCTCCCCGTCACTACCTGCATGCCACCTACTCTTTAAGAAAAAAAAAAGCACCTGCAGCACACCGCACACACCTAACAACTACTAATATACCCGGGTTCTGCCTTTAATGCTCACTGGCTGTAGCTTGTCCGTAGTAACAAGCGCGACTGGCGAGCTAACAATCTCTTCGAGTCGTTTTTACTCAACGACATTAGCTTTCCTACAAATACCGACCGACTCTACTCTCACTCGCTTCCTCTTTGTGTCCTCGAGAGCGCGTCGGTGGGTATCTTCCACGCAGCGGGTCGGGAAACACGGGAATAATTTAGCCAGACAAAGAGTTAAAGGTAGCGGCAGGTAACAGCAGCACCAGCAACAGCTCACCTGCTACTCGCACTTCTCTGTGTCTGTCCTCGCTCCTCTCCGCTCCGTGTCCTGTGTTTACGCGCGCGCGCGTCTGCGTTCGCGCGTGCTGTGTTGTCCCTGGAGATTCGCGGAACACCGGCAGTATCAAATCAGCTACTGTAAACACCAGTACATCCGATTATAAAATAAAACCCTCTAGTCCGGGTTTTCATTGCTTTGGGTGAATAAATAAATAAATAATATGGCATGGCATGTGTACTCCCAGTTTTCCTATCCTAGGCTACACAATGATTGTAAAGGAAATACAAACATAACCCTCTGTACCTTGTAAAAGTGCTTCATAGCAACCTGGGTCATATTAACATTTTATAACGCTTCTGAATTTCAAAAGGACAATAAAGTAGACAAAAAGTCACATTTAAACGAGCATTTATCAGTTATTGGACTGGATGTGCCTTTATTATTAATTATTTTTAAAATAAATATTTTGGAGAGTTTCAAAAACACTTTTAAAACAATGGTGAATATTTTTAAATGGCTGTATGCGTTTATCCAAACCAGTTATTGTGCATTCAGATAGATCTGTGATCCTAATATCACACATTTTACGGACGCGAATAGTTGGAAAATGGTAACCTTTTTTAAATGTCTTTTTCTGTATGAAATACACTTTCTGTGTCACTTTGCTGACATCTGGGGGAAATGTTATGCAATTACCGTTTCAAGACATACCGTTTCACCTGTATGGAGAAAAAAAA